TTTTTTTTTTGATATGATCATACACTCAAGTATTATTAAGTTAATCCTCAATTACATGACATGACCCAGGTAATAAATTTTGCCCTAATCTAGAAATTATAAATATTTTCAGTTTCAATATTGATGTCCTTTGAATGTATAAATAAGTACTGTCTTGTTTTTCTACATTCTTTGACCATAGGGAATGCGTTATAATATTGCTGGACCTCTGTGTTTTTCTGGAGATGTAGTCAAACGAGATGTTTTTCTTCCTATGGTAAATCGTTTGTTAACTGGAATTGTCATATGTGAAACTCATTACTGTAAAATGTATTAATATATAGCAAAAACTGTTGTTTTTAGAAATATAGCACACCCTAAGCTTCAATACTCTGATTGTTTTAACAGCCTTTTGAAAATGGCTGTAGTGGCTTATGCACAATGCAATTCTGAGGAATGCCCTTCATTAGTCTTAACAGGATTCCTCAGAATTGCATTGTGCGTGCCTACCGCACACGATTTCCTCATCATTAGCATGCACACAAGCACATACACAACATCAAGCGCTACATGTAAGTTCAACAGCAAAATAAGTGCTAGTTTTCTCATAACTGAGTTTTACAAAAATTGTTCAGGAGGAAAAAAGATATAGCTAAAAGCATGCACAACACCATTACATGTGGATTCAAATATTAGGATCTTAAAACAAGGACTCAAGGAACATTTTGAGTTGACATCATTTAAAATTGTGTAATTTTGCCATAATCATATATGTACATTGCTGCATAATTCTCGAGACTTTCTACCTACATTGTATCAAGTTTATTTTCAAGCATTTTGACTACAGTATATGGACCATGGAAAGTGGTGGTAGAGAAAAGTTTTCTTATTATTCATTAGTAGACTGTGGGACTGCAGATCACAGACCATGGTAATGCATACATGTACCTTATACCTTCAGAGTTGCCGGGTATAGTAAAATTGCTCTGTAATCAGCAAGTTCAGCTGACCTTCACGAATGACTTGTTTAGAGTAATGTGGTTAAAAAACATACATGTCCAGTACTGTGCAAAAGTAGTACATGTAAGATACAACAGAGAATATAATCATTCAGTAGTGTAATGAATGTTATTCATCAGATTGAACGAGGTGACTACATAATTCTGCATGACTGTGGTGCAAATTCTCTGTCTGTATTTTGTCGGCATTGTAGCCGTCAAGCTCCACCTGTTATTGGTAGGTTTTTACATTGTATCAATAATTAATGAGTCCATTACTCATTTAAGCAACTTTGGTTTTTGTTTGCTTGTTTGTTTGTTTTTTAATTTTTTTTTTTACATTTTTTTTGGCATTAACAACAGAATGTGATACAGAGGTTGATGAACAATACAGATACTATAATCCAAACCGTGACAATACGGACTCTTATCATCATAACAACAGTCTCTTATTTTTTTCCAAATCAGTGTGCTCAACATTACGTCCTGATAAGAGAGCATACTTTCCTCATTCTGATCAGTCTATTCTACAGTGTATGTCTGTGTCTTCAATGTAACTTTTGTAATAGGGGTGCTTGTAATGGGAGGGTGTGCTTATACATGTAGGATTAGGGATGACAATTAAAAAATCACATTACAGGGAGTGCTCATCAGAAGGTGACAAGTACAGTCTGCATACGAGCCAAGTAGCTCATCAGGCTGGTGCATATTTCTGGTTTCTGTAGCATGAAGTGACTAGAAATATTTCTACTTCCCCCTGGATAGGATGCTAATCCATCCCAGGGTTACCCCCCAGCATTGCATTAATTCGTATACACCTGGGCAGAGAGAAGCTCTGTGAGAGTTATGTATCTTGCTAAGAACACAAAACAATGTCCCCAGCCTGGACTGCTTGACTGATCTGACCTGGACTGCTTGATCTGGAGTCGAGTGCACTAAGCATGAGGCCACCAGACCTCCCATTAAAAAGGGGATGCCTATTGGAAGGTCAGGACCTGTGAGAAGATATTGTACTTCTGGTCAGNAGTGTATGTCTGTGTCTTCAATGTAACTTTTGTAATAGGGGTGCTTGTAATGGGAGGGAGTGCTTATACATGTAGGATTAGGGATGACAATTAAAAAATCACACATTACAGGGAGTGCTCATCAGAAGGTGACAATTAAAGTCTGCATACTAGCCAAGTAGCTCATCAGGCTGGTGCTTATTTCTGGTTTCTGTAGCATGAAGTGACTAGAAATATTTCTACTTCCCCCTGGATGGGATGCTAATCCATCCCAGGGTAACCCCCCAGCATTGCATTAATTCGTATACACCTGGGCAGAGAGAAGCTGTGTAAGAGTTAAGAACACAAAACAATGTCCCCAGCCAGGGCTCGAACCTGGACTGCTTGATCTGGAGTCGAGTGCACTAAGCATGAGGCCACCAGACCTCCCATTAAAAAGGGGATGCTTATTGAAAGGTCAGGACCTGTGAGAATATATTGTACTTCTGGTCAGTTGTTGTTTAATAGATAACGGTACACCTGTCGTATGTGCATCAGTTCTGGGAAGTGTAGTCATCACTTTAGTGTAGCTCAATACTAAGTGCTAGCACCTGCACCTGTACAGGTAGGTAATGCATTTTCAGAGTCTGGTGAATTCTGTAGTTTCTCAGTCAATAGACTGTGTTCAGCAATGTGATTGTTGATACCACTCTTTCTTGTTCAGATGGAGATAAAAATAAATTAGCTGTCTGGCATGTAAATAGTAACGTGAGAGGTATAGTGGCCTTATGGCTGGTGAGCTGGCCTCCAGATGGAGCAGTCAGGGTTCAAGCCCAGGCCAGGGTCATTATGTTGTGTTCTTGAGCAACACACTACTCTCACAGTGCCTCTCTCCACCCATGAGTATAAATGGGTTGCAGCAAATTGTGGGGGCAACCTAACAGAATGCTGTGGTGGACTAGCATCCCATCCAGGAGTTGAGGCAATACTCCTAGCCAATTTGTATGACAGAAACTATAAGTCTGTTGGGCTTGCAGTAATAAACTTTACTTTTTACCACATGTAAAATAACATTGAAAGATAGTTATTTCGTGGTTTGTATCCAATGGAAGAAACATGATCATACTAAAATGTCACATTTCTGTGGGTCTAGGTGTATATTACTTTGCAATTCTTTGTTTTAGGTTATCACGTGCAAGAAGATGGCAAAGTAAACTTTGAAGTTTTAAAAGTAGGTATATTAAAGTTAAGATGAATTAGCAGTTTGAGGCAAAATGTTCTTCCCCATCAGCAACCCCCTTCTCTTTTCCCCATATGTACATGTACATCTCAGAGAGTGCTTCTTGTTTGCTGGTCAAGAAATAAATCACTGCTTTACCAGGAGATGGGAAGAAAGTCTGTTCCATTTCACACATGAAAGAGCCAAAGATTAAGGCTTTACTTGTAATTTGATTCACTCCATATGTTTAACAAAATACTTTTACATGTACCTACATGTATTTTTCAGGAAGCTGAGACAGTGGAAGATCTTCTAATATTTTGGAAAGGTTTGTTCTATACCATGTAACAGTTCATCCATTCTTGAGTTAACAGTAAAGTGTTTTGTTTACATGTAGTTCTTTACCCCACCTCAGTAGCCTGTACATGAACCTTCAAAGCCCATTGAGAAGATTAATGGTGTTTTGCAACTTCTTTTGGCATTTTGCAGGTAGAAAACCCAAAACGACNGAGAGTGCTTCTTGTTTGCTGGTCAAGAAATAAATCACTGCTTTACCAGGAGATGGGAAGAAAGTCTGTTTCATTTCACACATGAAAGAACCAAAGATTAAGGCTTTGCTTGTAATTTGATTCACTCCATATGTTTAACAAAATACTTTTACATGTACCCACATGTATTTTTCAGGAAGCTGAGACGGTGGAAGATCTTCTAATATTTTGGAAAGGTTTGTCCTATACCATGTAACAGTTTATCCATTCTTGAGTTAACAGTGAAGTTTTTTGTTTATATGTAATTCTTTACCCCACTTCGGTAGCCTGTACATGAACCTTCAAAGCCCATTGAGTAGATTAATGTTGTTTTGCAACTTCTTTTGGCATTTTGCAGGTAGAAAACCCAAAACGACAGATTTGCAGTGAACATTAGCATCACCTCCTGCAAGTTTCATATGAAAACAATATTACATTGAGTCTGATATACATGTAAAAAGATGCTTAGAAAAGGATTATGGGTGTTTGCCCTGATAACATAAATGAATTGTTAGAACTGACCAAAAGTCAGCACAGTAGAAATACTTGAAGAGCTAATCTCACAAGATTACCAAGAAGGCATAGTTGAGTAAAAGAGGGCTGTTGAATGTTTTCTGTAACCACTGTAAAATGTTGGAAATCAGATACCACAGAGCTACGGACCTCTGAAAATATCTGTAAAATGTTAAGAATGTATTGCTAATTTTCTCCCTACCCAGATCATAATTATCTTTAGATTGAGCAAGTTAAGTATAGTAAGATCTTATATTATGCTTTAGTAAAACTCAGCTTTTTAAATCTAAATCTTATATAGGGTTTGCTTCGTAATAAGATTTTTAATAAATATTTATATAGGGTTTTTATAAATTTCTAATAATTATTGTACATGATGATTTTATGCTCTTGGTATTTTAAAGAGGGCCACAGAAATTACAAATGTGTGCGCATTAATTCGCACAGCAGTGCAGACCAAAACATTAAATTTGCCTGCTCTCGGTCAATCACAACGAATTAACTTTCTCAGAAAATATAACATAAACTTTATTGTTATTCTATCCACTTGTTATTAATTAATTGCACTGAATATCTTTATGGCAATTATGTTGATCACAAATTTACAACGGTTGTAGCCTTGATAAAAACATACGTTTAAGTGTAAAATATTCTATCCACACACATGCATTGGTCACACAGTTATATATGACAGGATACCTTATTTGAAAGAGAATATTATGCATTCACTCGTTACATAATAAAAATAAAAATGGCAATATGGCAATATTTGTGGTACTGTTTTGTCCCCCATGGATTTCTGAGATCAAATACAATCTATGCTAAGTTACTGGCTCAGTAAACATACATAAATGCAGCATCCCCAATTCTAAAAATATCACATCTGCACAAATTTTAGAG